TCACAATATACAGAGTATTTAAACCTCATCTAGTAAACCTGATAAAACAAGATAAATTAAGACTGTTCCTTTCATAGTCAGGTTTCAATTTTTGGCTTTTTATTCTAACACTGAAAATTCCTACAGGAAGTCTTGGCTTCTCCTACTTCTGAAACCAAGGCCACACGGAGGACGGTGTCACAGCCTGAAGTGGAAGCTCTCTTTACAGCCTCTTTAACCTCCTTTCTCCAGAACTTCTCCTCCATCTAAATTAAGACAGTTTGGCACATTCGGGTGATCCCCAGGGCCAGGACTAATTCCACCCTGGGCAGCTAACGAGCAGGGTGGAGCAAGCTGCCCCCTGGGCGGAGGTGCCCATCTCACGTGCTCTCCTTCACAGGGAGTGTTTTCCTCCGAGGTGGCTGTAGACAGAAGAAGGTTTTGCAGGCTCGCAGCTCTGACCAAGTGCATTGTATTAACTGACACCTTTCCTGCTGCCGAACGGACTATCAGTGGTGCAGTGAAGGCCACACTAGGATGGATGCACCAGGGCAGGAAGCAATTAATAACAAGGCCTGATTACTTGGAGCAGCCCTTCCCGAACCCCTCCTTGGTTAGCAGTAACAAAGGCCTCTGCTTGTGCTCTTCCATCTCCTGTCACAGCAGTGACGCTGTCAGATGCCTGCCTTAACAGTCAGCATTCTCCAGCTCTGATCCAACACCTGACTGCGGGTGGGAGGAAAGGTTCAATGGACAGCAGATAGCTTTGGATCAGTCCCGTGGGCAGGAGCAAGGACACGCAGACCAATTCACACACACAGAGCCCACATTTAGGGGCAGCACACCCAGGGGCTGTGGCTAGGCCATGCCTTTGCTGCCAACAAAATCCAGCGTGCCCCCAGGCCAGAGGACATTGCCTCCTGCCCACCCTATGTGCTCTGCAGCCACTTTTATCCTCCACCTTCCCTCCATCCCTCTCTCAGGCAGGCCAGCAGCAGCCAGCCAAGGACACTGCACAGGTCTGCCTTTATTTTAAGTTGCCAACCTCCACCCCCATCCCCTTTTTTTTTGTTAATAAATTTTTTCAAAATGGAAAAAAAAATCCCTCCCCCTTCCCCGTCCCTCCCTGCCACGTTCCCAAGGTGCCAACTAATCTCCGATGCCCAGCTTGTACACAGCCACCTCTAATTGCTCCTGCATTTTCATCTGGTGTAAGTTCAGCCATCGCTACAGCTGCCCCTCCTCCCCCCGGGAATTCACACCTTCATTATCACTCTTTACTGCAGAGCCGTCCGCAGGCTCCCGGCTCCGAACAGCAGCTCCGATAAAAAATAGAGCAGCTTTTCAGTGGTTTCAATTTTAATTACCAGCATCAAGGCAGCTCGCATTCTCACCAGGCTGTTTCGCACTAATTAAAGTGAGGAGGAGTTTATGGAAGGGACACCAACTCCACTTCACTCCCTCATCTATTATTTACAGACAGTAATACAAATAATTTCCAATTTAAACAGTCTGAGCTGGCCAGCAAAGAGGAGGGAGAGGTGGGGAGAACGCTAAGCAAGGAGAAACTCAAATAAAGAGCAGAAACTACAAGGAGGGGACAGAAAATCGACTCCCAGTGCCCTCTAGTGGGATGGGCTCCTAAGGGGTCCCAAGGTCAGAGGTGTGAACACACCCTGGAGGACCAGCGAGGTGGCAGACACTGCCTTCTCCTTGCCTGGCCTCACCAGTGACCTTCAGGATGGGACCAAGCAGCAGCAAAGGACTCTTTTGGATGATGCTCTGGGTTGGGTTGGGTGCCCAGCCCACCCAAAGGCACCATTCATGGTGGGGTGTGAGCCCAGGGGGACACCGAGCTGTGTGTTTGGGGTGCTGAGGGATAACTCACCCTCCAGAAAATGGGCATTCCATGCAGATGGCAAACTCCATCCATTAGCAGCTGCAGTTTCCCAAGGCCAGGTTTGCTTTCCTGCCCAGGCCCTCTCTCCCTGGATGGGAAATGATCTTCATCAGACTGGCTCCAATCAATCTCCCAGCGCAACACATGCCAAGCCTGGGGCTTTTACAGATTTGTTGCAGAGAAGAACCCCCAGGAATGGGCCAGCATGGAGGTGGGTGCTTCCCAGCCCCATAAAAACCCATCCTATAAACAACAATCATTTCAGATTTTACCGTGTCAATGAATGAAAACACAACAGCATCTTCCACCACCTTGCTTTGTTTGTTCTTGTCAGCATAAATGAGGCAATCGATACCAGTGAACCCGATACGGCTCTGATCTTTGCAGGGCCCCGAAATGATATCATCTGTGGGTCACATCCGGATTTCATTTAAACCAGCGCTGATCAGGAATAACTCCAATAAGAACAGGGTTACCCTGGATTTACACCAGGCTAAGGCAGATAAGCCTGAAGATCAGTGACTGAAGGAGACGAAGTTTCAGCATAAATGATATTACTACGGAAAAGTAGCTTGATTGAAGCACAGGTGTTGAATGTTAATCGCTGTAGGCTTGATCCAGCATCTGTGTAAGTCAAAAGCAATATCCCATTTACTGCAGCATCTCAGAATTAGATCAACGGCAGGTAAATACTCAGAGACTAATTCATCTTTCTCTCATATCACCTCCAGAGTGCATGAAGTGCCTGGGACTTTGGCGAAAGCATTCCTGACTTATGGCAGGGTGCAAGGGAGAACCAGGCCCTGCCTTCTGCTTTGTGGTGGTTCCAGGGGATGGCATGGGGTGGTCCAGGCTGGCCGATAGTGAAAATCATCACTGAAGGACAGCCTCCATGAAAGGAGTCAAGGTCTTGGCTATGATGGAAATATCCACCGGCAGAAGACCAGCAGGTATTTCACAGATCCTCTTAACACAGTGAGAGTTTCCAGCTCAGGGTGCACTGCTGCCTCCCCTTTGGTACAGATGGGTTTGGGGACTGGTGCTTTACTTTTGGTACAAATGTGTGAGCTTTGCCTTGGTAAAGTCTTTGCAGGACTGGGCTGAGGATTTTATAACTCCTGTTTTGAACCCTAAAGGACTTCACCTTCCAGACCTGTCTCCCTCTTCAGGACTGGTATCCATTAAAGGTTTGGGGTGATTTACCTGGATTTTCACTGTGAGCATAACTCAAGCACACTGACAGCTTTGCACTGGATTCAAACCCTCATTTCCACTCTGCAGCTACTGCCCCATCCACACTCCTGCACCAGCACAGAAACCACCGGGATGGACCAGAAGTGGTCCTCACCCCCCACCTGCATGGTGCACAGGGGTGCTGGATGCCAGTCCCTCGAGCACCTCGGGGCACCACAGACCAGGTCACTTGTACGGCAAAGAGAGGCAGCCAGGAAGCTTGGTCTGAGGTGGGTCTTTAATGGGCACAGGGCTGCCTCCCTGTAATGAACAAGAACCCCAAAGCTGCAAGGCCGAGCAGCTTTCATGCAACCAAGGACTCTCATGATCTGGTCAGGGGTGTCCCTGGGCCTCAGTATCAGGCCCATAGGCCTTTCTCTCCACGTCTCACTGTGCCTGTCTAAACAGAGGGGAACGGGCTTGCCACGAGCGGGTCGGACCCCATGGGATGTGCACTGCATGTGGCAGAGCCCGGCTCGGCTCTGGCACCTGCCAATCCAGCTGGAAGCAGAAATCCTTCCATAACCGCGGGTGTTTGTACGGCTGCGCCGGGGTACTCCTGTGGCCAGGCCTGCACATCTTTGTTACTGGTAACTATTTACACTTTAAAAAAAAAAAATACAATGTCATATTTGCTCTCATCTGGATTCATGAGATGGATTTTGTTACGTTCCCCGTGGTGAGAAGCGGTCATTCATGTCTGCAGATAAACACTGCTGTTTTGGCCTCAACCAGCCCATCTCCAGCAGCATTAGTTAATTGTACTTCAAAATCCCTTTTTTCTGTCCTAAAATGCGCTTTCTGATCATCCTCTCAGTGCAAATATGGTAAATAACCAACCAATGCAAGCAGCCACAAGGCCATAAACGTTTTACAGCTGTTAAGCCCGTGCCCATGGATGCAGACAAAAATCCCAAGCTCCAGCCCCGCACAACGAGCCTGGCCCGGCTTGGGGGGACGAGCAGCCGGGCAGGTGGGGGCTTTACGGTGGGTCTGCTGGAAAAACGTGAACGTGCCCGGCTAGAGGGAGAGGGCTTCTCAGCACAGATCACAGGGAGCCCCTTCGTGGAGCTGGAACGCCTTTGCACCGGGCCTCTCGCTCCCAGCCAGAAAGTCTGTCTCTCTCTGATGAGAAAAGGGGTTTTCTAATTTATTGCTTTTATGGGATTGTTCCTCCACAGAGGCACAAATAGCAGCATATCAATAAAGCCAGTCGTTTGAAGTTGGATATTTCCACCTCTGTCACAGCAAAATAATTAAAAAAGGATTCACAAGATCATAAATTGCATGTCACCAAGGACACAGCCTCCTTAACCCTTCGAACGCTGGGCTGTGCCCACCCAAGGCCCCTGCTGCTCAAGGCACGGAGCCACATTTGTTATTTTTAGCATCTCAGCCACCAGGGCTTTCCTGTCTGGAAGGAGACCCACAAAGGACCTTTCCATACTGGGAATGGCTTCCAGGACCTCAGCCCAGCTCCAGTACCCAATGCACGTACAGGTTTGGTTTTCAGCCAGGCAAACGAGGAGCTGTGCTGCAGACCTGCAAGAGACGAGCGTTTAGTCACACTGAAGTTGAAACATGTTACAAACACATCAGGCTTTGGGGAAAACACTTTCAAACATATTTGAAGAGTAGAAGCATGGAGAGGGCTTGAAAAACGTTTGCTTTCAGCTAAAAGCTCCTCTGGCTCCAGCCTGATGACAGAAAAGGATGGAGCCCATCTGGGTCAGAAATTCCCATTATCCTGCCGATCCCTCCCCAGCACAGACACAGCCAGAGCACATAGGGAAAAAAAAAAAAAAAAAAAAAAAAAAAGAAAAGAAAAAGAATGCATATTATTTTCCAAGCAGCTTACAACTTAGGTCACAATACAACAGCTAGCTCATGCTCTGGTCTAATTTGATCACAGTCAAGGTTAACAACCATTGTTAAACTCTGCAGGCCACATCCTGCCCTCATATAAATCCAGGAGAATCCGTGGAAGGACTCGAGGTGCAAATCTCCAGGTCTGAGTCCTCATGGCATGTGGGAGGTGGCTTCTCCCATGCGGCAGGGCTGGGTAGAGGGACGTGGGACCGAAACCTGCATGTGCAGGGCTGTGAGCAGGGGAGGGAGCTGGTGCAGGTGGGTGGAGGGAGCCCACCTCTGGGCACATGGTTTCAAAAAGACCCCTTTCCCATGCCCACGGGGGTCTGCAGCCTTGGGAGAAGTCCCCCTGGAGGCAGATTAGTGGGAAGGGCAGAGACAAGGTAAGTGGGGCTGGGTACGACAGCAAGGTTGGGTGCAGAGGGCAAGAAAAGGAAGTTGCATCGTGTTCAAAGCCAAACGCACCCAAATGTTCTCTTTAAAGACATGAAGATACATAGCACATAGTGTAGAGAGTCTAAAGCTAATTTTATCCAGGTACAGGGTTACTTGCCCTATTACAGAACCAGAAAGTCAGACGAGCTCAAAGTGTTTAAGCCACATAAGCATCAATTACATAATGACCATGAACAAACAAAATAATGTTAAAACCTTAAGCCTGGATGTCGAGAGGAAGAAAACAGATGCACAATAACAACACAGCTGATGGTGTTGGGTTCAAATACCCTTTCCCAGTCTTTTTTTTTGCCTCCACATTGGGGACTGGAGGGGCAGGGACGGGAAAAGGCTCAACATTTCTGCTGGCATAAAATCAGGAGGCGACCACAGCCCTTGGGAGACCTGCCCTGCCCCTGTGCCCACTGTGTACATGACACCAAATTAGGACCCTTCAATGCTGAGCCACAAACCAGGCAGACAGGGCTAAATGGCCCCCGGGTGCAGGATTACGAGGGCTTTGTGGAGGGACGGGGGCGATGGCAGCTCCCTCCCCATCAAGGGGGATGCAGACGAGGGAGTGCATGTGGAGAAGGGCAGCAGCTGAGCCCCGGCTGGGGCTCCCCAGGGAGCTCTCTCCTCCTGGAGGAAGGAGATCAGAGGCTGAACAGCAGTGCCCAAAGCAGGCACCAAAACCATTTCTCTCCATCCCTGTGGTTTCCAAACTGTGGCCTCCAGACTCCTGCGGGTTGTGAACTGAGGTCTGTAGAAGGCCGTGAAATAAAGCAAGATCTTTATGCTCCAGAGCAAGCACAAAGAAGTTGGGGCCTCTGCTGGAAAACTTTGTTCAGGGGCCCACGAACTGGAATAAATCAAAATCACAGTTTTATTCCTAAATGTTAGGACTATATTGCTGCCCTTTTAAGTATTTTTTTTTTTCAATTATCTATTCAAAATAAAGCATATAGATAAATAATGAGATCTGAGTACTTATCAGCCTAGCTATAATAAGCATTTTGAGTGGGGTACTGCCGGATGAAATACTGTCTTATTAGGAGAGCTGGAGGTGTGAAGTTTGCCACCAGCTCCAAAGTGTAGAGATGCTCATATGACATCTGTCTCTTAATATTCGTTAGCAAACTGACAGCTAACGTAGCAGGGACCTTCACATTATCACTCAGCCATCAACGTGTTTGTGTGGCTCCCATCATCATATCACCGAGCGCCTCCCCAGCTCTAGCATCCCTGCAGCACGTCTGTGAGGAGCAGCAGGGTGATTATTCCTGGAGAATGATCCATAGTCCATACCTGAGCCTCCGGGCAAGTGGGGAGGAGGTCTGAGGGAGGGAAAAATCCTTCTCTTCCATGGGTGGGGAGCCTTGGTGGACCAGTTAGTCTGAACATCTGGTGACCTTTGATCTGGGTCCCAGTCCTGCCAGAGCTGGTTGTCCCAGGGGAGGGTTACCTGCTTGTGCTGCAACACCAACAGCCAGGCTGCATTGGGACAGGGCAAAACCTGTGGGTGGTAAATGAGAATAAACTGGAGGGAATCTGTCTCTCCACTGGCTTCATCCCAAAAGGGACCTATTTGGTCCTGGGGTGAGGGTGTTTTGCTGTGTCCTCCCTGTCACCAGCCTTGAGAAAATCACTGGTCAATGGAAACCCCTCTGAGGTCAGAGCAGAAGTGGAGGAGCTGTGGCCTCTACCTGGTGCAGCAGCAATGGGAAAGGATGGCTGAGTCCTTGGCTGCCATCCTGAGAGCTGCGGCCTCCCCAGCTGGGATTTCTCTGGGCTGCTGGGGACCCTGCTGGTGGGCACGGTGACATCTGCAGCAAACCAGAAAGGTCAGGACACGAGAAGCAGGGCTTGGACGGGAGCCATCCTCATCCTCCCTGCCATCCTCACCTGGCCACCGGAGCTGGCAGCCCCTTCCTTCCCTGCAAGCACACCACGAGCACACATGACAGTCCCCTTTTAGCTTAACAGTTAGCGAATCCTGCTATAATGCAGCAAATATCAACCAGCCTTTTCCAGCAACCTGCTCTCTAGGAGGGGGAAGAGGCAGAAAAGCTTTAGAAAATAACTGCCCTCCCTGCCTTGCCCACAGAGCACATCGTTTCCCTAACTTCATCCCCAGCACCCAAGGGAGCCAAGAGCAGAGCTCCCCTCATCTCACCCAGCCCCAGGAGGCAGCAGAGAAACCTCATTTTCTCTCTCCAACCCTTTGAACTATGCTCTTGAGTAGAGAGAAGACAAAGGAAAATAAAAGGGGTAAATTAATTCCAGGCAGTTGAATGCATTCCCTGCTCTAGCTCAGTTTGGAGTAGGTACACATAATAACAACTTTTTAATAATAATTTAATTTATAATGTGCCCCCCTGCCAAGGCACTCAAGGCACTACACAAACAATTAAAATATGATTATAATAAATAAACAACAATAATTAAAACATCATAAAACAGACAATATTAGAGCCAGACCAAATGCTAAAAAGCAAAACAAAGCAGCATCTTTGGAGGAAGGAGACCCTTGCACAATTCATCTTCCAAATCTCCTGTTGATGTTAGATTGAAATTCTCCTGCGAAGCTGTTTCTGCATCTGCAAAGATTTTGGCAGTGTCACAGTCATTAAAAAAATGGATTTTACACCACCGTAAATTAACTGGAGTTTTGCAAGGCTGTAATAACGCAACATTCACTTTCATCGGAATAAATCCAGAAACTTGGGAACTCAGTTTGTGCTGCTGAGTTTGTGTTGACTGCTCCGAGTTTGGGAGAAACACGCATTCATTTTGTTCTCAATTCATAAAACGTGCCTCATTACAGACGCAAGAATGCTTCCATAGGCACAAGAATGGTGTTTCTAAGATTAAAAACCAACCCCCAAAAGTGAATAGCGGGCCAGACTTCCCCCGGCCGTAAGCTGCTCGGAGCCAATGGGATCGCCTCGTCCCAGTTTACACAACTGGAACCAAAAGACCTCAACTAACAAAAGAAGCAATCTTCCTCCAAAACAAATGAAATCCCAACTCGTGCCAGGCAAAAGCCGTGCACTGAACTCTAATGATTAAAGGAGACAGGCTCTGTCAAGGCAGAGGTGGGACTGAAAGCCGGCCAACCGGACCCTCTTCTGACAAAACCTGGCCGCTGGCCCTCAGACAATTACATCCAGGATCCGTTCACTTGAGTGCCTCAGCTGATCTCAGTTGTTGTGGCAGCGCATGAAGGGAAAATCCTTCTCGCAAACCCAAACCACACAGGGATTTCTCCATATTAGAAAAAAAAAACACAACACACACACACAAAACAAAACAAAACAAAACGCGTTGGGAAGATGAAGCTGGAGGTTTTCTTCCAGCACAAGGAACCAGGAGGATGCTTTCTATCCCAAGCTGTCTGAGGGTTTGTTTTCACAGGTCTCACTTTGAACTTTGAATCCAAGTGAATCTTAAAATCAAAGGAATGGCAAATGAGACCATGTGGTTTTCACACACAAAGCCATCTTTTGGCCTGGATTCATTCAAAAAATATCCCTCAAAAGGGTTCGCAGACCTTACCAGACTATGTCATAACCTGAAAATTTTCAAAATAGGTAAGATGCCTGCAGCTGGAGAAACCATGACAAATTTTGGGCACAGAGAGGATGCTTTCATTCATTTCCATTTTCTCCAATCAGGACTCTTACATAAAAATGAAATGAACCACAGCCTCCTGGTTCCCTGCAGAGCCTCCTCTGGGCGTGGCCCAAAACTCTGCTCCAGTTGTGTGCAGGAGTGGGACCTTTTTGTTTCCACAGGGGAAATGGGGCTTTCAGGAAGGGAGGACATTACTGGGGCTGGGATTTGATTGCTTTGAACCTCTATAGGAATCGGGATTCTTACACTTTTCCTAAATTCTTGACTCTGCATTGAAGTTGTTCATGCTCCCATGGCTGCACCCTGAAAGCACCAGGTCCACCTGCTGCTCCAGGAGACGTAACAGCAGACAACACTGTTTGGACTCCAGCTCCCCATGGATAGTTTTTATTTTCCTGGGTGATGGGGTGTACTGAGGTGTGGTGCAGCTCCTCCAAGTGCTTGGATCTCCCTCCTGCCAGGCCACCTTTCAGGTAAAGATTCAGGTTTTCAGGTTCTGGGATGAATCACAGGAAATTCTCATTCATTTTTCTGTATCACGTTTCTGCAAGTGTCCTGTGTGACTCTGAACGCTTGACTTGGACTCACACCATCAAAAACGTCAGATGTTTCATTCCTGTTGGTTTTAAAGGGAGCCAGGTATCTAAGAGCCTCAAAGGACCTGGATTAGAGCTTCATGCCTCAGTTTCCCCACCTGCTTTCCAACCTCCCAGGGCAGATTGGAGAGTGAAGAGAATGGGAAATGCATCGATATGGCCAAAATGGACCACATCAGGTACACCAGCAGCTTTTCTCCTCCGCTTCTTCATTCACTCATCGGTGTTTTTAACTCAGATTTGGGCAATCTTGCAGTGTTGATTCCACACATGCCAGAATTTCACCACAGAAAAAAAACTGGTTGGAGGTTCACCCTGAAGTTACCTACACTCTCACCTTTCCAGAGACCATTCAGGGCTTTGATTCATTTGGAAAGGCCCTTCTGAAACCGGGGTCCCTTCCAGGTCCCCCAGGGTTGGGGTAGCTGCAGCATCGGGGCCGGGAAGGCGTCAGGAGCCGCTGCAGGAGAGCGCGTGCTGACACTTGAGAGCAGAAATGAGAAGACCGAGGTGGCAGAATTTATTTTATGACAAATCCTAAAAGGAAATTATGCAAAGTAATAAAATAAAGAAGAATTATAAATGAGGACAAGAAATGGGTGAAATATAGAATAAATTATAGGGAGACAGGAAGGTGCAGGAGGAGAATTGAAGGCAGAAGTGCTGAGTTAAAGGATAATTATTAGAAACTGGCTGGTAGACAGAAGGGAAGAGGGGGTTTGGGCAGGGGGTTGGCTCCAGAGGAATTAGGTGTTGTACGGCAGTTGCGTGCTTTTGTGCACTGTGGCATCAGCAAGCCCTGCTAGGTGCATTTTGGGGGTGGCTTGGGGCAACAGGCAGTGCTTGTTTTCGGGTAGTAAACCCAGAAATCTGGGCAGGAGGTCGCTCTGGTTTCATCCCACAGCCAGAACGAGCCCAAACCCAGGGAAAGAGGGATGGGGTGCTGCAGCTCAGGCAGCACCGCCGCCCTGCGGGGAGCAGCCTGCAAGGCCTCAGCCACCTCCCTGCCTTCTCATTAGCCTCCTCCAGCCCCAGGGGGCCTGGGAGGGAGGTATTCTCCCCCAGCCTCCCCCAGAGGCTCCTCAGCAAGCCGGGCTGCTCCTGGTTTTGTCTCGGGAATCCTTCGGAGAGTTCACGAGCCCCAGGTGCAGGAGGGGGGTGAGGGAAGCCCTCGCACAGGGCAGGGACCCTCTCTGGGTGCAGCCGATGGCAGGAGGAGCTGGTCCCAGGCCCACGGCCCCAGCTGTCAGTCTGAGCGATGAATTACATGCTATAAGAAGGTGTTGACAGGAGCAGCTGGACATCAGAGAGTGATGAAAAGGGAACAAAATTCATTCCGAGTTCAGACAGACTGGCTCGTTAGGGGCACCGGCAGCAGAGGCCACAGAAACACTGCTCCATCTCCTGGACATCCAAAGAACCGGCTCCCGAAAACACTGCGAGCCCCCAAAGCACCCAGAGCCCTTCCTCGTGCAGGAGCAACCTCCCCATCCCCATTCCTGTCCCTATCCCCATCCCCATCCTGGGGTGCGCCAGGGGGGACCCCACACATCCCAGGCCAAAACCCACGACACCTCAGTGGAGGTGTCCCCAGCCACCAACGTGCAGGATTCTATGTAGATATCTTCAAAAGAAACCAAATCAAAGCAGTTTTTGTCCCTCTTGTTTAAGGATGTAATTTGTATAAACTGTATGAAGAGCACTGGGGAGGGGGAAGAGGGGGGAACGGGACCATTTGGCATCAAAACAATTATCTCCATTTTAATGCAAACTAAACGACATGCTAAAGGGGAATTGTTTCGTACATATGTACAGCAAGTGAACATTAAACCATACGGCTAATAATTAACTGACTCGACATTACCCTTGCTGCGTTAAATACAAGGGTGTCCCCTTACATTTAATGTACGGAGAAGTTTGAGGACGCGGAGGTCCCGTATGAGATTATTCCTAAAGCTGTGAAAATAACAAAGAGATTTTTTTTAAGCCAAGCTACTTCTTGGCATTCAGAGAAGTTGGCAGAGAGAAAAAAGTGTGGGTCCTTCTCCCACCCCCTTCCTCCCGCTCTCCCTCCTTTCCTCCGCCTCTCCTCCCTTCCCTCACTTCCACTTCTTTCTGCTGCCGTGGAAAAAGAATAGCAAATTCAGAGAAAATTTCATTGAGGTTATTCAAAGAGTTTTTCATGGATTATTTACACAAGTGCTGTTCAAACAGCCTTTGTCTGAACATCCCTTGAAATCTGCACCCAATCCTTTCAGATTCAAAGCAATAGCTCAGGGGAGACAAAGGGGAGCGGCTGACATGGGTTTCCTCTGCAAGTGAATGAGAGGTCTGGCTAAACACAGAAGGGCTTTGGGATCACAAGCTTCCTTTCAGCCTGGAAAATAAACACTAAGCTGAAGCCGGGCAGCTGTACCTCCGACCAGCCTGCCCCATTCACCACCAAGCGAAGAGGATGGGGATGCTCACCGGCGGATGCTGCGGCACCCTGTCCTGCACCCTGTGCCCCAGCACCCCAGCCAAGGGACACGCTGAAGCCCCTCTTAGCCTCTTGGCCAGCTGTAACCCTGCACCAGGGGTGGGCAGGATGGGCTCCCAAAAAGTCTTTAAATATAAAGAGCCAGATTCTGCAAGCAGAGATTGGAAGAGGCATGGTGGAGGGAAAGGGAGGGTGAACCAAGGCAGGCAAAGCAGTTGTAGAAATATTACAAGGTGTTCCCATATTCAACACCATTTCATGGCCCTCTCTCCATACAAAACTCATGCACCCACAACTTGCCCATTCCCTGCAGCAGGGGAACAGTGCTCTCCTCCCTCTGACCTGGGACACCAGGCACCACAGGCAGATGAAGCACCTAAAATGCACACAAACGGATGAATTAAAATCAAAACAAAAATCGAATAAGTAATGACTTATGTAAGAAAGGCCAAATTCTACATTAAATTATATGCCTGTCAATGACTAGCCATGGGATGGGGAGGGCAGCGTGGTGCCTGTGGACCAGCAGTGCCTGCTCCTGCCACTTGTCCCTTTCTGCACTTGAAGGAAACCCACCGGCAGGTACGTCCTCTTTGAGTTTCCACAGCTTTTTGTTGTCACCTCTTTCAGAGAAAAATGTGAAAAACACCCTGCACACACTGTTTGTGTAGACCAGTACCCCTAAGTGCTCTCTTTTGCTTACACATTTTTTTCCCAGCTCTTTCCCTGCACCTCTCCCTCAAAGTTCATATTTGCCTATTTCTGGTTTCGTAGCTCACCCACCATCCCCACATCAAGCACCAACTTTGTTCAAGATATTCAAAAGTATTTCCCCGAGTAACTGCTGTTGGATTTCAGTGATGAAATTCATCTAGCACTGGCCTTTAAAATCCTACCACTCCTTAGAGAAATCCTTCCTCCTCTTCCACCTATTTCTTCTTCCTTTCAGGTCTGTCCCATCCTCCCCACTGGCTTTTCCACTGACACTGCAAGACCAGTCTTCTCCTCTGCCTTACTCTGTTCTTCTTCCACCTCCACCTCTCTCACTTTGTTCTGGAAGCCCCCACAGATGTATGCACGAACAGAAATGCACCGCTCAAGTGCAAACTGGACACTACAGCCCCATTTCCAGGTGCCCCAGAGGTCTCAGCTCTACCACTGGATGCCCCAGAAGCTGCTGCAAGAAACCACATTTTGGGAGTACCTTGGCACTGCAGGAAGTTTCTTCCTAATTTTGACAACAGAGGGTTAGGCAAGTGCTGGTACAGGCACCCAGAGATACTCTCCAGACATCTTCAGAGGGTGGTGTTATTTTGTTTGTTCTTTCTATTTTAATATTGATTCCTACAATTTGGGATGTAGCTATCCACACAAATGCTGGACCTCTTGAACCCTGTTCAGCTCTCAGACTTCATGGCACCGTGGGGCAGTGACTTCCAGCCTACCTGGGTGCTCACAAAGAGGTGATGGTGTTTTATTTTTCATCAGCTCTGAACTGACCAGGTTTTCCAGCTTCATTCATCACTAGGAGACAGCCCCCTGCAAAAGGCTGGTTTAGCCCTCCTCGAGTCCCACATAATCCTTGAGTCTTACTGAATTATCATTTTTAACTTTCCTGGAGTGATGCTGCTTGTGAGTCACCTTTAGTGCTGAAGAAGTAGCCTCTCCTAGCAAGAAGATTAAAATCCCATTACTTGTTATTCATGTGTTATTTAATGATATTTTTTTCCATTATGTATTTATTTATTTTTAAGTTGCTTGCTTTGAATCCTGAGTTGGTGTTTTTAATACTAAGTGTAGTTTCTAGTTTGTTTTCCTAATTGGAATGAAATAAAAATAGAATGGAATTTTTTAGTGAGTATTTTTGCATTTATTACAGGAATGACAAAAAGCAATCCCCAACAGCCAAACCCCAGTAGTGCACCTGTGGAGGATAACAGCAAAAAGACAGCGCCCTTACTGCCAGGAGCAGAGGAAATGAGATTAAAGACAGCCCTGCAGTTCAACAACGGCAACAAAAACCCCCTCAGACTGCAAAATGTCCCTTGCAGAACCCCATTACCTCTCTTGTAATGATTTGGCAGCCAAGTGGTGACTGTATTGACCACGTCTTGAGGACAGGTACCTCTACTTACACAGTTGTCTCTCTGTCCATGGGGGAAGATGGGATGAAAGGAGGCCTGCATGTTCCATGAGATGTTTTGGTGATGGCCATCTCCTCTTTGAGGGAGGATGTATCTCCTCGGTGACCGGACAGATCTGGAGATGCACTGCCTCGTCCCCATCCAACAGAGGTCTCACAGCAGGGAGAAGATTCCTCTATAATGACAGGATCAGGGCTTGAAAGGAAACCTGAGAAAAATGGTGCAGATGGTGAGATGAAAACCAAAATGGAAGGTGGAAGGAAGGGCGAGAAAGATGGAGGGGGAAGAGAGAAATGAAGGAGTTTAGAGAAGGAAGATAAACGATGGAGATACTGTAAAGATAGATCCAGGCAGAGGCAGAGAAGTAGGAGGGATTCACGTGGAAGAGACAGAAGGGAAAGTGCTGCAGAAAAGAGCAGACAGGTATGGGAGGAGAAGGAGAAGGACGACAGGGAGGGAGCAGCTGGAGAGGGTGGGAAGAGGCATGGAGAGACAAAGAAAGCAGGGAGGAGAGAGAAGGACAAAACTTTCCCCAGACTGTAGTGCAGCAGCCCTCCTGCATCTCCTGGATGCATATAACGGGGCTTGGGAGAATCTTCATTTATCAGGAATTCAATTAAGTGGAATAGTCGTTATTAATTTTATAGGAATTATTTGTACAGGAGAGCCTGGAGTGAGGAAAGGCCTCCTGGAGCCATTTCTCCTGTCAATGCCCCGGGTCAGGTAGGCACTGGCAGCGCAGTCTCACCAGTTGAGATATTAATGAGATGCCTCTAGGTGCAAATGATAGTTTAATAGGTGTTACTTAACGGGAGCGCCCCTCGCCTGCGCATGCCAGCGCGCGCAGCTCCTGACGAGGCTGCCTCCTTGTTAGAATAAGTAATTAGAATGTAGGAACACTCACTTTGACACTTTAATAAAGTGTCAGCCATCATCAATTTAGTATTTAATAAAAATAAAATTAAATATTTACAACGTTTTTATAGCATCATATTTAAAATACATATTCCTCAAATTTAGGTGATTTAAAATGAGGTCCCGCTAGGACTCTGGCCCCAGAAAATAAGTCCCACTATTTCTTCCCTGGGCTTTGTCTGCTGCGGGAGGGAGGGACTTTGTTAGGGACAGCAAAACCCAGCAGCACAAGGAGGGACGTGCTGTTGTATGGAGTGGAGATTTTCTCTCTGCCTTCTGGGCCTCCCCGTGCTGTCTGGAGGCTGAGGATGAACTGAGTTGAGCAAGTCCATCCCCAACGTCACTGGGGCTGGCGGGGCACAGGGAGGCAGCTCAAGGCGGGTAATGGAGCAGATCCCTCCCTGCTCAGCGTGGACAAGCAGTGCCAACCCAAAGGCAGGAAAACCTGTGGTATCTCAGCAGAAAGGCAAACCTCCTCTTTGGCAGACCCTCCCTGGGATGTGGGACTCGGGCTGGGGAGAGCTGCCACCACTGATGGCAGGCAGCCAATGCCAAGGTGTAGGGGAAAGCACAGCTCTGTTCCTATTCCACTGGAAAAAGAGCTTTCCAAACCAGATGTTGGAAAGAAAACAGAAGAAAATCCCGAAGATTAAAGCATGCTTTAAGCCTGGAGGGAATTTGAAAGCTAAAATAGCTTTGAGTGAGTTTGCTCCCCTCCTGTCTCAGCATCCCAAGTTTGTCCTTCCTCAAGGTGCCCACCTGGCCAAGGACAGTTTGCTGTGCTGGGACTTCGGGATGTTGGTGACACCCTGCTGGCAAAGAAACCAGACTGATCCCCAAGAATTTTGGCCCAGCAAAATATCTGAGTGCAGATCTTTCTCAGCCTCTCCTATCTCTTAAAACAAACCACAGACGTGGGAGCCCCACTGCTGCTGCAGAGCAGAGCTCTTTTGGGGTGCACACAGCTCTCCCTTACACACGTGCACCCCGACTGCACTGGGGCGAGTGTTTTGGAAAACAAATGAAGGAGCAGAAGGAGGTGCAGGTCCCTCTGGTCGAGGTGCCTTGGCAACACGGGGAGGGTGTTCCCCAGATCCCTGCTAACAAGGGATCCTGTCTCGGAGACTATGAGTCACCGCCGAAACCCTGGCAACAATTATTTAAATGGGAGCTGCATCCCTCGTGCTCCGGAGCCCTGCTGATGTCTGCTTTTTGGGGGGGTCCCAGTGGGGTTGTGAGCAGGCTGCTTGCACCCATGGCATCACTCCTGGGGGGCTGTGAGTGTTGTAGGACCCACCTGAAAGCACCACGAGACTTGTCCAACGTCACCAGCCACCTGGGGCCAAGCCCAGCCCAGCTCCTCAGGGTTTTCTAGGCTAAGAAATCTCTTCTCCCTGGGCACGAGGCAGGCTTTCCCCAGGTGGTGTTTCCTGGAGGGGGTGGCTGCATGGATCCTGCCCCCGGGTGCAGTCCCACCTCCTGGTCCTTCAGCTGTCACTTGGGGGTCCTCATCCGGATTAGGGCCACATCCCCTCTGAAAGAGCAGGTTATATCCCCCCAAAACAAGGCAAACCGACACCACCTCCAAGACACATCCTCACAGTTCTCCCAGGATTAGAAATGAAGATTTTACCCCTCTGGAAACTGTTTTCTGGCAGCTCTGTCTCCAAAACACTCGTGGTTTATCGATGCACACATCCTGATACTCACTCCGAGCATCCTCCGAGCACTTCCCCGAGGCAAACCCCTGGCACTGCTCTGGTGGCTGCCGGCCGGAGCTAAAATACTCAGCAAGGCACCAGCTTTGGAGGAGATAAATCAGCTGGGGGGGCTTGAGTGGGGTGTGCAGGGGGTGAGCGGGGCTGGGTGAGCCCCGGGGTGGCTGCGGCTGCGGCTGCTGGTGGGGACGGGGACGCCCATGGGCTCCCATGGGCGCTGGGCGCCGTGCTCTGGAAAAGAGTGCCACGCTGTGTCCGTGCTGGGCCTTACAGCAGCCAGGCAGCCAGCAGCGATCCCTGAGGCTGCAGCAACATTTCTGCCTGAGGAGAGAGCCCAGGGGGCTGCAGCAGCGGTGGGGTATCCCAAAGCAGCACCCGCTGCTTGCTGCCAGGTGGGCAGAGCAGAGCTGGGCAGCAATCCTCCGAGAGCCAAAGGCACAGCTGGCTGGCAGGGCTGGTGCTCTCCTCGAGGCTCTGGAAAGAAAACTTTAAGTTATTGCTGGGGAAAATTGGGTGTGACACAAGAATGGGATGGAAACTAGCATAACCCGGACCTCTTCCCTTCCTGGGCTTGTCCCAGCGAAATACATTAACGGGCTGAGGAGCTCGGCAGCAGCTCCTGGTGCACTGCTCTGACCCACAAATAAATGGGATCCCTGGCTGCAGGAACAGAGGCATGCAGGCAGATACAGCACCTTTCTGCTCAAAGCACTAAGAGCAAAAATAAAACAGAAAAAACAGCTATCAACAAACTCTCCCGTTACCTTGCTCTCCGCAGTACACACAGCCCCAAGCTGGCACCCACCTCGGCCGTGCCCTGCTCGAGGCTCCCTGTGCTGGTTTTGCTTTCAGCCTCTGTCCCCACGCACCCATTATCCCATTGCACAGGGGCTGCCTGTCGCTCCCTTGGCTCCTGGTGACCGCGGTCTGCCCCTACCCACATTAAAAAAACACAAATGTGTCTTAGGGACTCTGCAAGCCCTGTCCCACCCATCATCTGGCAGGAGGTGAGGCCACTCTGGTCCCTCAGATGCCATCAGCGCAGTTCACTGATGGAGGGGGGACAGTCAGGGACAGCCTGGAGCTCAGCCTGATTTCACACTCCACCATTTCATACTCCTCATGAGAAGCTCAGCCAAAAAAGCTCTGCACCAAAACATTTCAGCAGCTGCCCACGCTCCGTTCCCAAACTGAAGTGGCATCACTTGTCACCACAAACAGCACCCAGCTCTGCAACGGGTAATGCTGGCAGCCTCGCCTCGATGTTTTCACAGGGAAATTCATAGGCTGACCTCCTCGGCGAAACACACGGCGAGTGCCTTCAGTCTGGTTTACATCTGCCACGGGATCCTGTTACATTCAGAACAACCCCTGTCAACGCTGAATCTGTAACAATCAATAGAGAGGGTTTGTTTATTCGTTGTTGTTTTTTTTTTTATAAAACGTTTTCTCGTTCCTAATTGTGTTATTTTGCTACTCCAAGTTTTGCAAGTTTTGCCATTGTCCCCCCCCTCCCCTTCTTGTTTTCTTTTAGGACAAGCTGTCATCTTTTCGCATCTTTTCACCAGGCCACTGCAAATGTAAAACTGTAAATTGCAGGATTGTGCAAATAGCACTAATAGCATTTGCATAAAAATTGGTTGCAAAGAGCAATTAGCACTTCATTAATAATCAATGAAGGGCCAATTTACACATTGCCCAAAAGCAAATTGTAAATTCAATTTTGTCTATAATTGAGCATTTGGTGCTGGGCAACTATACAATGGTGCCAGAAGAGACAGGCGCAGCAGTTTTGGAGTCAAATCTCCGGTGAGTTCATGTTTCAAGTAATTCCCAGCCTGGCTCTTTTGGAGGCCAAGCCAGCACCTCCTTCACAATGGAAGGAGGCTCCAGGAGGTCCATTTGTTTCAGCTTAGGCAGAAAGCACTCACCTCTGCCTGCTACCATCCCTGCTCACATACAACCCTATTGCAAGGAACATGGATGCTCCTTATCCAACAGAGGTCTTTGTCTTGTCCAAACGCACCTTGCAGCGATGCTGTGGAGAGGGAGAGATGCATGAAGGACATGGGAGAAAAGAAGTCATCACCCCAGTACTTAGACCTGCACATCATTCCATTGCAGTGTCAGCTCAGGCCCTACAAGTGACACCAGAACCTCCTTTACCTTGGGTGAAGGTCCAATATGAGCATAGTGGGTGAAATGTTCCTACTGAGACAGTTCATCCAGCCTCCCGTTTGCCACCTCCTTTGCCACATGGGACCTTTCTGGGATATCCCAAATGTCTGCATCTGTTAGGACCCAAAAAAAAACAAAAACACCACCACCACCACCAAAAAACGAAAACCAACCAAGCAGCCCTGCTACCGCTTTGATTTCAGCATCAGAAAATAGTTCCTGGGTCCAGATTTGGCCGTGAGGAAATGTAGCCCCAACAGCTTCCCCTCTAGGTGCATGGCAGCATCCAAAAAATCCCGGCCAGCTTAACCAGGGTGACAACTTCCCAAGTCCCAAATTCTTCCCTATCTCATCCTCCACTTAAAAGACACAGCCAGCTCTGTTTCATGAGAAGAGTCTGACTCTAAACCACTTGACATCTGAGGTTTTCTTATCGCATTCTACGTGGATCTCATGAATCTGGTGAAAAGCTAGACGATCATTTAGCAGGGGTTGGTCGCTTTATCTATTTTCCATAATAATTTGAATATTATTACAATGGCACCTTTCATCTGGGGATATACATGCACTTTACATATGTTACATTAATTTCACCGATGAGCTGGGGAAGCACTCTTTATCCCTATTGTGCGGATGAGGAAATGGAAGCACAGAGATGATATACCGCTTGCCCAGTCTCACGCAGGAAGTCTCTGACAGAGCCAGGAATAGAAATCACATCTCCCGTGTCTTATGCAGAAGAATATCTTCATGTCCCTGCCCAGTAGCTGAGCCCTTAATCCAGCCTAAGACACCTACACGGGACCGCTTTGCAAGAGCGGTGCAGACACCCAGTGGCAGCGATGCCCTGCTCCGGGAGGAGACTTCCTAAATTGCCCCCACCTTGAACGCTGGACGTGCCCTCTGCTGTGGGTGCCCAAGGGAAGGGAAGTCAGCTCTGGGAGCAGTTTCCATCCAAAGTGGATGTTATTACTTGGTGTAAGAGGATGCTCGGCATGGGATGCCTGGGACTTCTCAGCTTTCACCCAGCAACGTCCCAGCTCCCTTTTTCCTTGCCTGTTCAATCCACCTTTACCAAGAGATTGAATTTACAATGGACTCGAACACATTTAAATCCATTTATTGCAAAATTACTTTTCAATAATTACATCACTGTGCTGACTGTGTTGCATAATGAAATTAGCATGAGAGATATTAGAAAGAATATAAAATTATAAGAAATATTGAAATACCTCTTTCCCCGTCTGCCTTAGCACAGCCCATAGCTTAACTGGAAAACGAGCACTGCTCCTGGATGGGATTTAAATGCATCAAGTGTAATTTTATAATGTCTTTTATATAAATTAATTATAATGGTTATTGCTGCTTTACATTATTAGATTGAAATTTGCCTCCACTTCAGTGCATTAAAAGAAAGCTGCACCCATTTTGTTCAGCAGTGCCCAGGAAGTTCTCGTGGCAGTGGAGCCATCCTCCCTGCGTCGGCACCACCGACATGCCTGAAGTTCAGAGCTTCGGGCTCACGCTGGCATTGCAGTGACCACCCATGGGTCCCAAAATCACCCCTAGAGCTTTGGGGTCAGGCACTGGCACCCCATGAGGATCTTGGGCTGGCATGGGACTTTGCACCCTACCAAAATTTGGTTTTCTGCGTAATCTCTGCAGCAGCAGTAGAGGAGCCCATGCTGATTTAAGCAATCCCACACCCATTTTCTACCTGCAAAGAACTAGAAGTGATAGAGGAGGCTCATTTTGTGCATCCCCACTTTTACATGCACAGTTGGTGCTTTTCTCTTCTAATTTTCTCTTCTGGCTTATTACACACACAAACAAAAAACCAAACAAATAATAAAAAAAACAGTCCAGGAGAGAAGGCCACACAGCTCTCAGGTAGCCAACTATGCGCTTGCTATGCTGGACAAACCACAGTCGTGCAAAGCAGGATGAAGACACAGCAATATGCTTTTACTGCCGCTTAATCCTCAATAGAAGTCCAGTAATATTCAATTTGTGACATTATTTGCACATTGAATTAATCCAGAAACTAAAGGGCTAATGAGTTATGGAAAGTAGCACATGGCTTAATTGTAACAACAAGGGCCTGCCAGGCTCCATTTGGTCCTGGTTAAAAATAAAAAACTGCATCCACTATTCCACACCGGGTAGGCCCTAAAGAAGCTGAGAACAGGCAAGCAGCAAACTGAACAATGCAAACTATCTAAAAAGCTGTTCTTTAAATACCCAGTCTTGTCTTTATTTCCACCCTCGCTCCTCCTGCAACACCACAACTTCTGTTAAACAAAGCACAGAAAAGCCAGGATGACCAGTAGAAAACAAAACAGAACAAAGCAAACCTTTACCTCTAGAACTATTCTCCAATAAAATAATTGCACGGCTTCCTTACAGAAAGGCTGGTGGAAAAAAAAAAAAAGAAAAAGTAGGAAAAGAAGAGGAGCAGCCCTTCATCCAACCCCACTGGTTCCCAGTGCAGGTGACTGCTGGTGGCATCGCTCCCTGCCCATTTCAGAGGATGCAAAGTTCTCACCAAGCCCTTTCATGGAAAGAAAAGCCCCATCTTCTGCGTGGTCTCATAGATCCTGCCCTTCCCCAGGTTCTCCGTGTGGCAGAAACCCAGTCCTTTCTGCAATGTTCACAGTGTGGACAGCTGGTCCTTCAAAGATCTCCTGGAAATCTGACCAAGGCAGCGAAAACAAACATGGAAAGTGGCATATATCCAGCAAACCCATCCCAAACGTCACCACTGCCCCATCTGAGCCATGCTGATGGTCAGTCCAGGCCAGCAGGTCCTCATCATCTGCTTTCTCCACACAACAAGAGTGAGATGGAGCTGCCAGCAAAGAGGGTTGGAGCTCTCAGCCTTGGATGGAGCTGGGTCAGGAGCTCAGGAGCTTGCACCGTGTAATAGAAAAAGTGAATAAATCTAAACAGCACTTAATTTATTGATGAAGTAAGAAAGACCGTTTAAAGTGGAAAACATAAGCAAGATCAATAGCAGAGAGCACAAATAACTAAAGCTATTGACACATAAGTATTTTAAGCCTAATTGCAGGCATATGCACTTTCTAAGGGTATCTCACCTTCTAATAGCACCCTCGAGATTATGGGGTTAATTGATGCAGCTGTTTACTCCTGGCTCACGTGGTCCAGATTGGGATTCCCTGGAGGATGCTATTAAACTAAAGTGTTTAATGAAGTACTAAAGAGTGGAGTTTCTAATATTCTCTCCTTGAGTGAGATTGAATGGAAACTGGAGCAAACTTCCCTTCCCCAGGTGGGAACTGCAGCTTGGCGTTGCCGTAAATCACCCTGTGCTCCTCGTGGGGACAGGCTTGCCGTGCAGGGGACAAAAGGTTGCTTGGGTTCACTTGTTAGACTGAGGATGTTGGGATATTTCTGCTTTTTTTCCTCCCCAGGTAGAACAGACCTACAGAGGCATTCCGTGGTTCAGGGCATTTCAACGTGATGGTGGTGGGGAAAATCAAGATTGCCAGAAAATAAGCTCTTAAAACCAGCCTCCCTCTTTCACATTTTGGTCTGCTTTGGTACCTTAGAGAACCAGGCAGATAACTACATAGGACATGAGTTTCCAAGATGGACAACCCTGGCCGCAGCACACAGCCTCCCCACACCCATCACAGCTTGATGTCGCCCTACAACAGGAAGGTCTCGGCTCCGCTTCGCCTCCATCCACCACCACCTACTAGAAGCAGTCCAAACCCAGTAAAGAAACGTGTGAAATAGTTCTGGGGGCAGTTTCTCCTGTTTCTGTACCTGTTGTCATAGGGAAAGTGGGATACATGTATGAAGAGGTTGGATGGGGATTATCTATGGGATTATGCCGTAATAAAACACAAACCGTACCTGTGTCTGCTCCCTGCTCCCCTCCTGCCTGGGACCTCTGTGATTTGGGGAAGATGCTCTTGGAGCTGCAGAAGGGACACTCAGCTCCCGGGGACGTGGTTCTGCACAGTGTGGGTCCCACAGGCAGGACCTGCAGCTCCTGGGCCAGGGCATGGCGTTACCGTGCGTGTCCTCACTGGGGCTGTCCAGCCGGAGCAGCACGCCAGAGCTCCTCTAACCCCGTACGACATTTCTCCTCCACCAGGCAGGTTTAAGCCGAGCTCTTTTATTTCAGCAGGGCCAGCAAACAGCCAGATAGCACGGCTCTGCCGGTATGTGCTAACTCATTAAACGACAACAATAAATGGCTTGCACTGCTCTGTCCCCCCCCAAACCCCACGCTCGCTGCAGCACAGGGCACGGCCGGCGTCCCCTCCACAGCCACCCCACAGCTGCAGGGGGGGCAGCACGGGGACACCGAAGCCCCCGGCGCCAGCACTGCAAACTGTTTGCAGAGCTGAGAAAATAAAAGCAGCCAAAAGGCCACGATGGAAAACCAGGGAGAGAGGAAAATTAGCTAAGAAATATGCAGCCTGGATGCCGATTCGCTAAAGAATAATTATTGTCCTCTCACGCGTCTTGCTTGCCCTCCTAACAAATATAATATTTTGGAGAGGACGTGTCTCCCTTTACCACTGCTGTCTCTCTCACGCCCTTTCTCTGTCTCGCTAGCTCTGTCTCTGCCTCTCTGATACCAACTCTGCCAAACCGTGCGATTCTGATGGAAAATTCATTAGTCGTCCTTTTTTTTTTTTTTTCCTTCCCCATTTTCCCAGTCAGCTTCGCGCCTGATCTGTCAGCCTCTTCCATCCTGATTATCTGGAGACGCCAATTTCAAAGAGACATCTTAATAGTGATGTCAACGAATTAATTAGATGTGTTAATGAGCTAAAAGCAACCCAAATTAAATTAATGCAGTAATAAGCACAGACAGCAAAATTAGCTCCAATTTCTGTAAATGATTCTGAACTGTACACAACATCTCATCCTGCTAGAACATTACCATCCCCCAAAGCTAATCAAGAACTCCAGTGCAATTAACTGCTTAATTACAAAACACACACACAGCTCATAGATCCAGCAGCAGGAGGGGTGCGCCGTGCTACCGAGCGAGCGGGGAAATTCTCTGCAACAAACGCCGCGCATCGGCCCCGCAGGAAGGGCTGCGTCCCGGCCAAAAGCACCCCCGAGGAGCCAAAAAATGGGGTTCTCTGGCATGAGGGCAGGAGATGGGGCAGGCAGAGGGGCCAGGAGCACCCCGTGCACTGGGTGCCACCAGGGGATGATGTGTAGAGCCAAGGATGCTCGCCGGCCGTGCCCAGCATGGTCCCCACATCTCCGCCTTGTTTATTGTGTTTATCAGAGTGGGGGCTGCATGGAAAAGCCTAATTGTCCAGCTCTGCTCGTCTCCCCCGGGGATGAGGGGGAAGCCACTAATAGCTTTGTGGATCTGCTCAGGTATCTGATTAGCGCTAATTGCAGGCGAGAAGAGAGAGGGAAGGAGCAGGACAGGGCGGTGATGGAGGGAAGGGGAAGAGGATGGTGGAAACGGGAAGGGAGAAAGGGTTGGGGGGGCAGAGGGAAATCCTCGGGATGGGGTGGGGGCAAAGGGAGAGGTGAGCAAGGGAATGATGGATGCAAACAGAAAAAAAAGAAAAAAAAAAGAAGAAAAAAAATGGAAACAAGCAGGCAAACAAAGAACGGGAGCCAGAAACAAAGGGAAGGAAGGCGAGACAAAAGGGCTGCACGCTGCCAGGCCCCGCGGAGCAGCCAGGGCAGGAAGGCTGGTGGGGACAACACGAGTGGCCCCGTCCCGGCCCCAATGAGCTGGGTGGCACTGGGGGTGGTGGGAACACGTGGCGGGGTGACACCGCCGAAGCAGAGGTTGTGGAGTCATTAGTCCGCTGAGCAAATGAGAAATATTTGCAATAAAGATGAGGGCAGAGATTCGCTGTGACAAATAGCATCTCTGTGTTTGTCTCTTCTTTTTTTTTTCCACCTTTTATTGCAATTAGTTCGGTCTGTTAATAAGCAAAGGATATTTTTAGTTAATTTCAGTTCCAGTTAATTGATTCAAAAGCGAAACCCAGCAACTGAGTTAATTGATCCATGCGTCTTATGCCGGAGCGGCGAGGTATTCTCCGGGCAGCTGCTGTTGCAGGGGCTCGTGGCAGCGCAGGAGGGATGGGGAGCGGGGCTGTGAGAGTGGCAGGGGGCAGTGGGGACAGCAGTGTCCCCTGCCCCGGGGACAGGCAATGGCCTTCGCACACCCTGCTGCCTTCAGGATTTCCTAAACCTCAGCCAAATCGCCCCTTTCCGCCTCTCCTGTCCATGTTGTGTGCCTACATCTTGTCGCAAAATCTTCTTTTTAATGGGAAGACTGAATCCCCGTGCTGGTTGGTTTAACACACGGGTCTCCTGTCCCTGCTCTGCTGGAGACCTGCTGCTTGGGTAGCCGACACGGAGCCGCAGCTGGGTTCAGACTGACACGGGCTGCCCTGCTTTTTGGGAGTTTTGGTCTCATCATGAAGGGCACAGGCAGTCCCTTAAGTCACCCAGGACAAGGTGTGCACAGAGCGAGCTGCCCAGCCACACAGCTACCATGGGCATGCGTGCACATCTGGATTGTATCCGATTTCATAAACTGCAATAAAGTGCGCTAGCAATCGGGCCGATGGCTCTGCAAGTTGTTTCCCTTAGCAAGTGCTGAGCACATCTCCCCAAACGCCTCTCAGAAATACCTGTTGATATGTCTCCTGTGTTTTCTGCACTGTTAATGTTCCTCTTGCCTATTCCTTCTGATAGCGCCTCATGCCATTCCACAGCAACCTCATCATTTCCAGGGGAAAAACAAATCTCCCGGGGCAGATGAACCAGAACTGTCACACACATGAAGAGCACAAGCCAAAAATTGGATCTCACCCTCGTAGGTGCCACGCAAACAGAAGAACACCTGGGCTGTGATCTACACAAGCAGGTTGGAAAGGAGCTCAGGAAGGGAGCAAAGCATGAAGCAACACACCATGAAGGCTACAGAGGAGGTTTTCTGAGCACAAATTTCTTATGGCAGAGAAAAACTCGGCTTGCAAGGCACAAACAGGCTTTGTGCTCTCGAGGTGGCCCTGCTCCTGTGCACCAGTCCCCCCAGCTGGTACCAGTGCTGCTGGGGGGCCCGCAGTGACCACAAACTGGGTGACCCCATGCAAGAGGGCCACCCCCCTGCTCTCACCCCATTACCCTTCCCATGCACTGGTGGGATTTTCCACCCAGCCGTGCTTTGCCACAACTGCCACATCCCCTCAGGTCTCGGGGAAGAAACTCAAAGCTGTTGGTTTTGCTGCTGATGAGGAGCGCTAAAGTTGGGCTAAAAACGGCACGTAATTGAACATGCTCTGACAATTGTATACCTGGCCACTTCCATACTGCTCTCACTTTGATTTTAATAATAGAAGTTAGTTTTTAAGGCAAATAATGCACTTTCAAGGGGATGTTAAGGATGTTATTTCAGTCTCTGGAGGCTGCATAGCTTGGCAATGAGAACTAGTGAGAGACAGACAGACAAATTGCTTGCTCTCTGCAACTGCAGCATAGCTAAGGACCTACCTAATGAAAGAGCCTAATAAAAATAAGATGTTTCAGAAAGCGCACGCTGAAACGATCTTCTGGAATTGGGCCTAATAGCGAGCCCTCTGTGCCAGGAATACGTAGCTCATCTTCATGCCGCTTCCTCTCTTCCCAACTTTATAAATGGGATATTACGATGCACTCTCTGCCCAGAAAACTCGATAGATGCGAAGCTGGGCGAGGAGCTGAGCAGCTCCAAAGCAGTGTCTCCAAGAGCACTCAGCACCCCTCGGCCCTGGCTGCACGGCTCCCTGCCAGGGGCGGCGGGTGCTCAGAGGAGGCTCAAGGATGCTCTGCTTGTAGGGCTGGCTGGGAAAATCTGGAGGGGGGTTACTCTTCGATAACACCACAAATTAACCACATTTTAAAACGCTGGTCCTTGTTCTGTCAGCGTATTTTTGAATAATTTGGTGGATTTGGCAGGTGGCTGTGATACATCATGTAATATGAAGGGGGAAGACTTTTGAAACAGAAGTTAATACTTTCTGGGAGAATAAGGAAATAATTGTGTCAAAACAAGCCCTAATCACTGAATTTTACCTGTTTCTCAATGCACACGAGTTTGCAAACATGATTCCCATTAAAGCAAATGAGAAACACGCGTATCAGTCTGTGTGCCTTGAGAAGAAAATACTCTTCACAAGTGCCTTTCTTGGTGTTGTCTGATCAATCCACCATCTGGTTTTATTTATTCATGATTTCTCAGACTACTACAACAATATTGACATTAAATACAGCTTTGGCTTATTAATTTTTTTTTCATTCATATGTATTTTAAGTTGATTTTATCGACTTCCCCTTGGCTTGCTCTTTTAGCTGTTGGCTTGTGTTCCTGGCCTGCTACTTCGTGCCTACCTTTACGTACATTGCCCATGTTTCCTTGCCAGCTCCTTGCTTCTGCTCCAGGTGGCTGGAGCAGAGTAATTTCCTGCTCCAGGTGTGGTGGATGAGCTGATTTAAGACCCCATTGACCAGACTGGGGTGGTCCTGCTTGCCCTGGGATCTCCAAGGCCCCCATGGAGCTGCCCCCAGTCTCTGTAGCTCTACCAAGGGGATGGGGACAGCACATCCACACCCCGAGCAGACCATCAATATCCCCCACCTTGGGCACACACAGGCAGGTCACTTGTTCCCAGTATACTGTGAAACTCAAGACAAGGTTAACTATATCTGTCCTCCCTTTTCTATCTCATTGCACCCCAAGGTGCCAGGCCCAGCTGGGACTGCACATTTTCCTGCAACCACCTCTAACTTTGACCATCACTTCTCAAAGTGCCAGCTCACCAAAAGCAGGTCTGGGCTTTCGGGAGGTTTCCAAAGCCCCTTCCTTCACCTCATCTCCACCTCATTCCAGTTTCAGGCAACGCTGACCACACCAACTGGCAATGCAAGAGAAGGCTCCCAGCTACAGATTGTCTTCACTCAGACCACAGCCACTAATTTGGAGGAAGATTTTGCCTACAAGTAGGTTTTGAGGTTTTGGGTCTCACTCTTAATATGCCATCCCTCTGAAAGAGAGCAAACCCTGTCCTACTGCACAGTCCTATAGCCCCCAAAATCTCTGCGTCCATTTAGAGCCTCCCCCTGTTTCCTGTACAGTGTTTTCCCTGCCTCTCCAGTAATCTTTTTTTCTCTGTTTCTGCAGCTTTATCTTCCCCGTATCCCTCGTGAGTTCGTACTCCTTCCTCCTTGTGCTTCGCTCCCTGCTCACCGCATCCCCCTCTTGTCATATTCTTCACTGGCGGAGTAACAACCTGTCACATCCATAACCTCTTTGCACCAAAAATGTTCTTTGATCTGTGTAAACTACATTTGATGCTGAAATCCTTGATATTAATATCTTTTGTTTGTGTGTCAATGTTCTCTAGAATCTAATTAAGCAATGTTTTGAGAGCATTATATATGTTTGAACAATTTGGCAGAGCAGACAATATGAGCTATTGACCTGCAAGGATAAACTGTGCTTGCAGATTCTAGGAATTCACACGTGCCTGCTGCTTTATGCTATTTCTTCTGAAATATGTGCATTCAGAAGGAGGCCTTGTTTTGCAATAATCTCTGCTGAGGCTTAATCAAGTAACTTCTCACACTCCTCACTGTAATTGCAGCGGCAGTTAGAGCAGGGCAGAACAGAAGCAGCTTTCAGCTGGCCGAGGAAAACAATAATAAAATAAAACAAAGAGTGAGTTCCACCCCGACACTAATAACAGAGATTATTCAATCAATAGGCTCTTGTTATGAATGAATAGGCTAAATTGCCTTTGAATGATGTAAAGATTGACAAGGTATAGGTCAGCCTGATATAGCCACTTACTCTAATTTGACTTCAGCAATTTGGAAAGCAGCGTGGGCTGGCAGCGGGGTCATGGCAGGGCGCAGAGCGGCGATGCTGAGCACGTCCTCACAGCACCCTGCAAGTGCCACGTGCCTGCACTGGACTGGGCCCGGAGGGCCCTGAGAAGAGGGGAGGGAGGGAGGAAGAGCAGCATCACATCACAGCAAGGTGATACAGGAGGGAGAAGGGATCTGGGCATGCAGGGCTTGGCTCTTCATTAAGGAGCTGGACAGAAGGGAGCCCAGCACACCGGTGATGGTGATGGGAGGCACCCTGCGGGCAGGGCAGGGAGCACTGGGCTCTGCAGGACTTCGGATGCTGGACTGGGCACGTGTTAGAGATGCAGCCTGGAGAACAGATGTGTTTTGAGCTGTGGGAATAACTCAACCCCAACCATCCTCCCATCCCTCCTACAAGGCACAAACCCATGGCTAGAGCTGTCAGTGTGTCTCTGCTTTCAGCAAGTGCAAAGATCCAGGACAGGTAAAATAAAGGCCACACTCATACTGGGGACACTGATGGACAATATTTTTCCTGATTTTTTTTTTTTTTAATTTACTTTTTTACTGGAAGAGAACATTTTGCAAACAAACCCAGTGTTGGCAGCCACAGCAGAGGGACTGAGGGATGCTGTCTTGAATTTTCCACCTGCAAGCACAGGTATGGCTGCTGTGCCCCTCCACCCCACGGGAGTGAGCCCAGGCTTCGTTAGCTAATACCTGCAAATGCACTTGGAGAGGGAAAAGTGCTCCCGAAATGTTAACCAGTACTGTTCTTGCATCAAGATAAGAAATGAAAGAGACAGGGATAGATTCTGGCCCAGGAACTTTCATTATAGATAAAATAGTGTCTTGAAAAACGTATGGATGGAAAGTTTATGGCACTTCCCAATAAAAACGTACTTACCACCCGGAGTAGTCTGGGTTACAAGGAGCTGACGTGTCCAGAACCAGCACGTTTGGCCTGCAGGAGGCCAAGCAGCTAAAGGCGATGAAGGTAGCATCACAATGTCCCCACCTGCATCTGTCTGACCCAGCATCCAGGAGGTGGGTTTTTGGGAGCAGGTCTTTGCTGCTCCCCATCCCAAAGCAGTGTTTTTTTTCCCCTGTAAAAAAGAAGGATTTGGGAGATCCCAGTGCTGTGGCACTGAGCTGTTTAGTAAGATCAGCAAGCGAAGAGCTAAGCACAGATCTGGAGTTTCCTTAACAATTTTGTGAACCACAGTGACCCAAATTTTAAAGAAAATCCTTTTCTAATTTTCCCCTTCATCATTACTAAAGCCTCAACTATTTTAGAAGTAGAGGAAGGGCAGTGGCATCCAGTGGTTCCAGCCATGTTTTGGGAGCAAGGAATCTGCACACCAGGATAAGCCTCAGCAAGGCAGCGTGCCTCGGTTTCCCTACCCACAAGATCCATCAAACACTTACTGTCTCGTGCACAAAATGCTTTCTAAACTGTGTATGAAAGGCCTTACACAAGTAGTTATTAATATTAATAATAATAATTGTTGTTGTTACTAAGCCAACTACAAAAATAATTTTTCAGAGAAACAAAGTGCCCTGTCTCCCGGTGATAGATGGCAGCGATGTTGGAAATTACTCACAGTGTGAATCTGGTTTCCAGTCTGGTTCCTTTCAATAAATTACAGACCCGAGCCCAGAGTGTGCACAGTTTACCGAAGTAAATACAAAGCAGGCAGGAAGTATATTCCCCCATCAATTTTGCTCATGGTCATTTGGGGTTTTCTCTGAAGTAAATATCCCCAAGCAGTTCCTCAGCATCTTAAGCTGGGGATGGTGGGCAGGGCAGGGCAGGGCAGCTGGCCCTGGGGCTGCGTGTGGGGGTCCTGGTGGAAATGGGGGTAATGGTGGAAATGGGGGTAATGGTGGAAATGGGGGTAATGCTGTAAATGGGGTAATGGTGGAAATGGGGGTAATGGTGGAAATGGGGGTCCTGGTGTAAACATGGACATGCCCCATCCACTCCAGCCCTCGCACCGCTGTGCCCTTACCTGTCTGGCTGCGTCTCCCGCGTGCTCTTCAATTTTTATTTTTTTTTCCCATTTTTTGGGGGTTTCGCCGCTGCTGTTTATCCATTAAATTCCTTCCAGATGGGGCTGCGATTTTCCTCCTTCCTTCAAGCCGGCGGCGCGCGGCGGCTGCCCACGGGCAGGTGTAGGGCCGAGCACAGCATATGCCGCGGGTTTGGCAGCGCCGGCTGCGGCGGCAGCTCCCGCGCGCGTCTCGCCGGGCAGCGCTCAGCTGGGACCTGGCGCCGCTCGCAAACACCATCTGGCCTTGGCAGGCCCGAGGAGCCCTTCCCGCACCGGCAGCCCGGACGGACGGACGGGTGGACGGATGGACGGATGGCGCCAGCCCCGCTCGGCACACGGAGATGCCGGGAGAAGGGGCGCAGGGCAGAGTAAAGACGGGGGGGTTGTGCAGCAACCCCTTCTGCTGCTCCCTCGGTGAGTAACGGCACTGGAACAATTTCTGGATGTCTGGATTAATGTCAAGGAAAAATAAAAGATAAAAAAAAATAAGATGCCTGAAGCCTGCGTGGCAGTCCAACAAACTCCACCGCGTGGCTGTTGCAAACAGCTGTGGGGTACAGCCTGCTCCAGGTGCCGGGAATTTGGGATGAAGGCCAGCCTGGTGGGTTTGCCCTCAGTGGTGCTCACTCGTTTTGCTGGCACCTTGGCCACAGCCCCATCTCCTGCCCACCCTGCAGAAAAGCCCTGATCCTTGAGACAGCAATTCTGGGGGGGGGTGACCCCGCAGGAGCAAGCTGAGCACCCTGCCGGCCCTGCACCAGTGTGGAACCACCCGAGCTACGCAGGGCAAGCAGCACTTTGGTGCTTGCTGAGCTGCCCCGTGCCCCCAGCTCCCTGCCGAAGGGTGCTGGCACCCTCCCCATGCAGGGGCAGAGGATGGTGGAGGTTTTGTTTCCCACCTCTCCTGACCTATAGTCTGGTCAGGAAGAGCAGATGCTGCGAGCCAGCAGGGCAATGCGCATCTGGGCTCCCCCCAGGACTCTCCCCAAATTGCTTGCCCATGTGTAGACCCCCCAAGCCCTGCTTGTGCACAGCTGTTGGCCTCCTGCTTGCCCAGGGTGGGCAGCCCACGCAATGAGGCCTTGGTGCACGTGCCTGGCTCTGTGTCCCCTTGGAAGAGCTGCTCACCATGCTCTGCCCCATCGTCACCGAGCTGTGGGCTCCCCTGCCCATCCCAGCTGTGCGGGAGCTGCTTTGCTCTCTCCTCCACGGGCACAGCCACAACTGCACCTGACACCACCGGGCACCATCCAAGCCATGTGCCTGCAGTCAGCAGAGCCCGGAGGTTACCAAAAGATCTGCTTTTACCCCATTTCTGCAGTTGAGGTGTTCCAGATCACATCTAAGCAGACATGGGGGCCTGGTGTCCTCCCTGTTAAAACCTCCTGTCCTTTTGCTGCCAGCTGCTCCTGGCCCATCTCCTTCTCCCTGAGCTGCCCAGCGCTGCCTGCCCAGCCCTGCGGCTGGCCCAGAGAGGGAGAGAGCTGCCCTCTGGGGTGAAACGTGGCTTTGAGGTGGCAGAGCAGCCAAAGAGGGCCCAAGACTAGAAGATGATATAAAAAAGACAGCTGTGAACCAATAAAGACTTGCAGAGCCCTGAGAAAAACAAGCAAAGGCAAAGCCAACACGGTGTCCCAACAGTGACACTCCACGAGATGCGACCACTGAAGCTGCTCTCTCCTACTGCCCTCCTGGGGCCCAGCAGCGAGGGGAAGCTCTGAAACTTGGTCAGTCTGTGTGTCTGGAGAACACGAGCAGGCTGCAGGGCCCACCACAGAGGCCTGAAGGTTAACTCAGCTGCGGCGAGGTGGCTGCAGAGCCCTGGTGCTCCATGGTGCCAGCGCTGGGTGCTGCTGACGAGGGCAAGGTGTGAGCACTGCTGCTTTAGGGCAGACGACTGTATGCAGCAGGGCTGGATGTATTTCACCATATATATCTCCACGCTACAAAACCCAGCTCTTTTACACACAGAGCAGCTTAAAGATGGGCTGTCCTCCAACTTCACTGTGCCTGGCCGTCCCCTGGGCTCCGGCCAGCCTGGGAGGCACCGACAAAGGAGGAGGGATGACAGATGCTCCCCATGCACAGAGGCAAATAGAGACGGGACGAGGGAAGAAAGAGAGCCTAAAGGGAAAGAAAATGAGCGTGCACACCCACCCGTGCACACAAAGGCAGGCGAGACAAAGAGAGGGGGGCGAGCGAAAGGCCGGGGCTGGAGGAGAGGACCCGAGGCGGCAGGCGAGGGCTGTTCGCAGCGGCACTGCGCGCTGCTCCGGAGAGCCGCCCGCGCCGGAGCTGCATCTGCGAACCAGCATCCTCACACCAGCCCCTTGGATAAATATTTATCGTGCCAGGCTCTCTATGACTTCGGTTTCCACCAGATTAACCTCGATTCTTGCAACAAAAAGCGCCCCGATGCCCTGCCTGCCGCGCGAGCCGCTCTGACCGTCCTTCTGCCTCCCCACGGCCCTCGCGCCCGCTCAGTGAAGGACAGAATTTCCTCCCATCAATCAGGACCGGATTTCTCCCATGCCATGTAAATAATTTAGAAGCACAAGCATCCATGGCACTGCTTCTGTGCAACCCAAACCCAGTGCCAGGAATCTTGGGAAAAGGGCCCAATAATATTGTACCAGTCCAAAGTAATTAAAGTGCATCATTACATATAAATTTGTAATTAAACACTTTAACGTAATCATCCCGCACAGCACGATTCCTGATGAATTAATTAAAAGAACTCCAGAAATTAATGTTTTACTTGTCACCATTGTTGTGCTAGCTGTAGCCATCTCCCTGACTATTCCTGCAGCATGTTGTGAA